AAACCAATTGAAGTTTGAGGATTTTTCTCATGGGCTCCGAATCCTCTACTTGGATATTCTCCACCTTAATTTTTCCATATTTAATTCAAGAAACTGAAAGTTGACACATCACAAAAGCTCAATTTCCTCACAATTTGATAAATTTTTATTTATTTATTATATTAATAGGAAAAACGAGTATAAAGAACACGTACAATATGTAAAGGGAGACATTCCAATAACAATATGGCATACATGAATAAAAACTTAACCATTTGGCTGAGCCAGCTAAAAAGCTAAGCCAGAAATGATATGAGGAAAATCACTCTAGAAAATAAATTTTCTATAATCCCTCTCTACCGCAATAATTTCCCTGAATCTAGTCCAATGACATCAAGGACAATTAAAAATGAGAAAAAAAACCCAATTGACTTATCGTCCAAATATTCATTAGTCTCTCTTTTTCCTTTTCAATGTCTCAGCAAGCTTTTCTTTCCTCCAAAACCTTCGTAAACACCTATCTTCCCACCTCACGGTCTATAATCTTTCCCCAATTTAAAAATAAACAAAAATATATATTATTTCCTCGTATGTTCAATCTTGCAACTATGGTACATCACTTGAACCCAAAAATCGATGTTTGAAAAAAAAATATGATGGGCACCTCCTCTGTAGATATCTATGTTTAATTGAGTGTTTGGTTATTTGGATTGGATTATATGTGAGTTCAATGAATAATTAGGCCTCTTTGAGTTTGGCTAATGTTGTTTTAGACAACGGAGGCTCAAAGTCCAAGCAGAAAACTAAGCAAAAAGAGACAAACAATCCATTGGGCTAGTACAAATGGCTCTTGTCCTGGAGACACCCACTAAATCGTTCACCACTGCATTATTTAGAGCCATAAGAAGAGGATATTCTCAAAGAAAGTACATCCAAGATCAGAGCAAGAGTACGAAATTCTTCCGTTGGAACAAAACAACATAAACGTTTAGGCATTCCTTTATTTCTTTTGCCACCTTATTAGATTGAACATTTTCTCAAGATTGTTCAAACATGCAAAACCTTGGGTTTACAATAGTGAAGCCTCCATCTACCAAAAGATTATGCCCACTAACATACTTAGACTCATCACTACCCAAGTAAAGAGCAGCTTCAGCAATGTCTTCTGCCTTAAGAACCCCACCTTTAAGGTTGGAATAAGCACCATGAACTCCATCATCATCAAGCTTAAAGAAGTTCTTCGCCAACGGCGTGGCAACTATATACGGCGACACACAATTCACACGAATACCGTGTTGTCCGAGCTCCACGGCCGTATTTCTCACCAGCCCTACTATACCATGCTTTGAACTTGTGTACGCATGCGATGAGCCGCCCCCGATGGTGGAACAAACACTAGCAGTGTTAATTATGCTCCCTTGGCCAGCTGGGATCATAACGCGAGCTGCATGTTTGATCCCCAAAAACGCACCAACCAGATTTACCCTAATCACTTGCTCAAATTCTGCCTTGTCATTGTCAAGGATGTTAGGCTTTGCTATGCCACCTATGCCTGCATTGTTGAACATGATGTCAAGCTTTCCATATTTTCTTGTAGCTGTTTTGACAGCGTTTTCCACGTCTTCTTCTTTCGTTACATCGCAATGGACAAATGAGGTGGACGAAGAGCTTAGATCTCTGCAAACAGATTCAGCCAAGTCGTCTTGCACATCTGCAATCACAACTCTAGCTCCATGTTTTGAGAAGAGCCTTGCAGTGGACTCTCCTATGCCGCTCGCTCCACCAGTGATTAGGGCCACTTTACCTTCAAGCCTTCAATATTAACGCAGAGTGTTTAGTTTCACCAAAAACACAAATAAATAACAATGTCATTTTAGAATATTGACATTTTGAGGGAAAATAAACCGATCAATTAATTAATTCTATTTGCACCTAACCAGTGGCGTAGCCAGGAATTCTCTCAAGGAGGGGCAACATTATTAGCCAAGATAAATGGAAAAGCTATACCACCACCAGACTTGGACTAGGATGGTTTAGAGGAGAAGAAAAATGCATACAAGGATGTGCCAAGAGAATAAAACTATGAGATAATAGATTAATAACCTAAAATCTTAAGTATCCATTGTTTTTCTACATAAATATTTTAGAATAAGTTCAATTATATAAGAAAACTTGGATGGTTGTTGTTCCAAAAATATTTAATGGGTTTTAAGACAATATTGGAAGATGTTGCCAATTAAACTGAACATGAATAAAAACACTTACGTGGTAGAAGGTCAAACCAATTGCTCTACCACCCACTTCCATATGCTTCATGCCTTCTTTTCTCAAGGTCAAGTTGAAAATAATGAGCAAACAAAAGCCTAAACTATAAGTGTTACAATTGGGTTAGAAGGGTCATATGACCCTCCTAGGCCTTAATTGGCTCCGCCCTTGCACCTAACAAATATTCATATATCGTCCCATCCCATTGCTTTGAAATTTTCCATCTGACATTCATTAAAAATCTAAATTGCCTTACTAATGATTGAAATGAAATCAATTAACTCATATTATTATTATTATTATTATTATTATTATTATTATTATTATTATTATTATTATTATTATTATTATTATTATTATTATTATTATTATTATTATTATTATTATTATTATTATTATTATTATTATTATTATTATTATTATTATTATTATTATTATTATTATTATTATTATTATTATTATTATTATTATTATTATTATTATTATTATTATTATTATTATTATTATTATTATTATTATTATTATTATTATTATTATTATTATTATTATTATTATTATTATTATTATTATTATTATTATTATTATTATTATTATTATTATTATTATTATTATTATTATTATTATTATTATTATTATTATTATTATTATTATTATTATTATTATTATTATTATTATTATTATTATTATTATTATTATTATTATTATTATTATTATTATTATTATTATTATTATTATTATTATTATTATTATTATTATTATTATTATTATTATTATTATTATTATTATTATTATTATTATTATTATTATTATTATTATTATTATTATTATTATTATTATTATTATTATTATTATTATTATTATTATTATTATTATTATTATTATTATTATTTTTAAACATAATAAGAATTCAAAAAGAAATTTATAATTTACAGATAGTCATGATAGTCACCAGATCCATTAGTCATGGCAACTACGTGCCCATCCTAGAAAACAAAAGAAAAAACAAAAAGAACACAAACCTTCTTGCAGCAGCAGCAAGTAATGAGAAATTTCCCATGGTCATCAATCTTTTAAACCTCTATAATAATAATATTCACTTGCTGCTGGAGACCTTCACCAAAGTCGTTCTAACCTCTCCTTTGAACTTCGCAGTGAAACTTTGTTGTAGACTTGTAGCTGTATTTATAAGTGCACTTAAAAAAAACACGTGAATTTTGTGCAACGTGTTGAATACATCTCACACCACATGCATATATATATCATGTTTATATTTAGAACAATTATTTGTGCTTACCAACTGTTACTCACACCATAATTGACTGAACTCAGGGGCGGCCCTAGCATGGTGTAAGTGGCATTACCGCACAGGGCCCTTGTATATAAGCATTATAAAAATTATATATATACTTCAGTGTGCAGCACATTAATACAAAAGTGTTAGTAAAGTCAAAGACAAAACATAGACATCCCTAAATGGCTTGTCTACCACCTTGTTACTTTTCCTTGTTTTCATATTCCTTGTTTTAGGGATGGAAACTCTCCATGTTTCCCTCCATGTCTTGTGCATTGTTTGTAACTAATAATCACCTTGTATACTTGTATATCTAACCCTTCACTAAGTAAGAAACTCAATTGGCAGATTTGAATGCTCTGCAAAACCTATCTTGTTCTTCTTATTATACATTCTCAACTCTCTCAATTACACTATCTTTGGCAAAAAGTGTATTGGTGGAGCTCATTTATAGGGCATACACCTTGAAGTAAACAAGATCATAACCACTCAAAATTAAACAAGATCATAACCAAACTGAGTGATTGAAGTAATTAATACTAATTAATTAAAAGGCTTAATGATTTACCGCTATGCTGAGGACCCATGATGGCAACGACGGCGTAGGAGAGCCCGAACTCAGCAAGCTTCACTTTCTTTGCGAAACGGTCGAACCCAGCAGCATTGAATATGCTGTTGCTGTCGATGAGTTGCATGGCACAGAAATCTTCCTTCATCGCCATCTCTAAGAAGAGAGAGAGAGATTTGAATTTTTTGTTTTTTGTTTTTGTTTTTGTTTTTAATATTTTATTCATATTTTAATCAATTTAAAATTTAAAAAAAAATAAAATATCATTTTACTCCTGCATTTAACAGAAAAATTAACAAAATTGACGGCATGACAATTTGTCCTAATGAAACTGAAGTTGAAGGATCACGGAAACGATTTTGGAAATTGAGGGACTCAAATGCAAATTGGATATGAACTAATAAAATGAATAACCCTTATTTTGTTATTTTGTGGTAGAATGAGCATCTATTAGATTGTCTGGCACAATTACCCTGGTTGCTTCTCTTTTATACCATGTCAGCTATAGAGCAGCAAAATAAAAGAATTACCCACGCTGCAGTCGTGCGACCTTTGATCTTAGCCAAAAGGCCAAGAAATGTATTTGTATATTGTTTATCAATTTCCCATCTCAGGCATCTCAGGTTTTGTAAAGTTTAAAATTTGACTTATTATTTAATTTAAAGATCTGTAGGTCTTCTTTGTAATATCTTTTTTCAGTAAAGACAAAATAAAAGACTCCTGCGATTTATTGCTTCTCATTCATACCATGTGAATTATTGCTACATGGAAGTGGTGGTACAATTTTGTTTGGTGACTGTGTGACATGTGTTTGTGAAAGAGATATTTATATTTAGGTACGAATGTGATGGCACATGAAAAAGGATTAGTGGTCTTCATTTTAAGTTACACAGAATGTGATATTAGCCATACAATTTTGATCTGCAAATTATGCATGAAACAACGAAAATGAGGATTTGAACTTTAGTTCTAGGGAGGGGGCTCACTATCCTGACCAATTGGCCTAAACCACATTTGCAAAATATTAAATCTTTTTAAGCATATATGTTTAGGCACTCCTTTATTTATTTTGCCAACTTATTACATTGAACATTTTTCTCAAGCTTGTTCAAACATGCAAAACCCTGCGTTCACAATAGTGAAGCCTCCATCTACCAAAAGATTATGCCCACTAACATACTTTGACTCATCACTACCCAAGTAAAGAGCAGCTTCAGCAATATCTTCTGCCTTAAGAACCCCACCTTTAAGGTTGGAATAAGCACCATGAAGTTTCTCATCATCAAGCTTAAAGAGCTCCCTCGCTAAAGGCGTGGCAACTATATACGGTGACACACAATTCACACGAATACCATGTTGTCCAAGCTCCACGGCCGTGTTTCTCACCAGCCCTACTAAACCATGCTTTGAACTTGTGTATGCATGTGGTGCGACACCCCCAATGGTAGAACAAACACTAGCAGTGTTGATTATGCTACCTTTTCCAGCTGGGATCATAACGCGAGCTGCATGTTTGATCCCCAAAAACGCACCAACCAGATTTACCCTAATCACTTGCTCAAATTCTACCTTGTCATTGTCAAGGATGTTGGGTTTTACCATGTCAACTATACCTGCATTGTTGAACATGATGTCTAGCTTTCCATATTTGGTTGTGGCTGTTTGGACAGCGTTTTCGACGTCTTCTTCTTTCGTTACATCGCAATGGACAAACGAAGTGGACGAAGGGCTTAGATCTCTGCAAACAGATTCAGCCAAGTCGTCTTGCACATCTGCAATCACAACTTTAGCTCCATGTTTTGAGAAGAGTCTTGCAGTGGACTCTCCTATGCCGCTCGCCCCACCAGTGATTAGGGCCACTTTACCTTCAAGCCTTCAGTATTTACAAAGCAGTGTGAGTTTCAACAAAAAACATGATAACAATGGCAAATCACTCCTCAAATGATGAATTTCTTGTGTTCCACTCAATGTAATTGAGGAAGTTGGATTTTGAACGACAAAGGGGAAAATGAACTTCATATAAAAATTACCAAGGTGAAAATTTTGAAATAAAATAGAGTTTTATACTCTGATCCCTAGTCTCCACTGGTCTTCTTGTAAGATAATTAGCAAATATAGGTTCATAATTCAATTGACACGGCAAAGAGCCCGTGCCCTTGCACCCCAAAACAATAGTTAACATACTGTTCCATTTTTGAAGCCCTCTTCTCACTTACGAATTTCAATTACTTACTGTGTTTGCAATTGTGGGTTGAAAGATTTATGAGGATTATTATTGGACCGTCCAATATTAAATAGCTTTTCCCATTTTTGTTAAATAGCAGAGAACACAAATTGATTTGACAAAAATATATATATATATATTTCCCCAATCTTATGTGTTGTATTTGATGGTGGGCCATATAGGCTTTTTTTTCCCTTCAAAAACCTTTCGCCAAAAGGCAGCAAAACTTGTTGCTGGTGGGCCATATAAATAGACTTTTTTTTGCCTTCAAAATCTGCTTGGGCTACAGCCCACCGTAGTCATTGATTTCACCCTTGGGTATATTTTATAGATTTTATTTTTATTTATTTTTCATGAAATAAAAATTTATATAAAACATTCATTTAATATAAAAGTTATAATGAAACTATTGAGAAATATTGAAAAAGGAAACAAAGTAAGGACATCTTTAGCAACTGAAAATTGCTTCAATAAGCCAACCACAAAGAGGGTCTCCAGTTACAAAGTCTCAATACAAAGAGTACACCAACAAAAAGAGTCGGCCTAACTATTGAGGGCCAGTTTGGTATTGCTGTGTTGTGAAAATAATCGCCGTCATATTTGCTGTGAGAGAAATCAGTTGTGAGAGAAAGCGGTTTGGAGTTTAGTAAACTTTTTATTAAAAGTGTTGTTGGTACTAATTTTCGCATAATCAGAAAATAATTCATGCATAATCATCAAATCCAGCGCATCTTCAAAACTGATTCATACATAATCAGAAAATGAAAGCACCCCATTAGCTGTTTTCCCTTATAGCTTTCTCTCACAGCAATTTTTAATGATAAGTGATTTTTTCATAGTTTACCAAATAGGCTGGACTTCCCAAATTTTTTTTAAAATCACTTATCACCCCAAATAAGCAATGCCAAGCGGGCACTGAGTGTGATTTTCTGTGGAAAATAACTAATTAGTCAAAGCCCCCAACCCTTTTTTTTTTTTTTTTTTTCCAGGAGTCAAAGACCGATTGAAATCATTTAATTCTATTTCTTTTTCCACCTTAAATTCACCCTCTTTTTATTATTATTTTTAAAACATAAAGGAAATTTAGGACACAGCCATGAAAGTAATTACCAGAGCCATAGTCATGACAACTACGACCATCCTAGAAAACAAAAGAAAAAACAAAAAAGAATACAATCATCTTGTTCTAATTGGGACAAGTTAGGATAAAATGAAAATAATAAGATTTTAGGAGGTGTGAAGAGGAAAAAAAAAAGTAAATAGATGCATATATAAATATAATATACCTTCTTGCAGCAGCAGCAAGTAATGAGAAATTTCCCGTGGCCATCAATCTTTTAAACCTCTATAACAAGAATATTTGCTGCTTGAGACCTTCACCAAAGTCGTTCTAAGCTCTCCTTTGGACTTCCGAGTGTAACTTCGTTGTAGACTTGTAGCTGTATTTATAAGGCTTAGTTTGGAGTTGCTGTGCTTTTAAAATTCTGAATGAAAAAGTGTTTGGAAATCAAGACAAAACTGCTTTTTTAACAAAAGGCTTTTTATCACAAATGGTCATTGATGTTTACAAAATTATCACGAATGATCCTTGAGGTTTTTTTGTGACATTAGTAGTCCTTAACATTAAGGGTTTTTTTTTTTTAAATCACAAATGATCCATGTCGTTAGAAATTTTGTTAAGTGTCTGAAGTGGAAGATAAGTGGAGCCCATATGTCCAATCACACCGTGACATGTGGATTAAAAAATAAATAAATATTTTTTTGACGAAAATCTATTAAAAAATCATGTAGCATCTCTCTCTCTCTCTGTCTCTCTCTCTCTTTCCCTCTGTCCTCTCTCCTCCATGTGCTCTCCCTTTCCCTCTGTATTTTTCTTGCCTCTACAACCCGACCACCCCATGCCCACCCGCAACCCACCCTTCTCCCTCTGTATGTTTTGCAAAATAATCACTTGCACAAGGTAGTTTCACATTTCCTTTTACACAAATATTTATTCAAACAACTTAAAATAATTAAAAATAGAGGGGGAGGATAGAGGAGGAGAGAAAATACAGGGGGGGGGGGTAGAGGAGGAGAGAAAATACAGAGGGAGAGGGTAGGGGAGTTGGGCGTGGGTTGCGGGTTGCGGGTGGCGGGTGGCAGTGTTAAAAAAAGACCATTAAAAGAATCCCAGAGATCATTTTTTCTTGCAGGTGGCAGTGGGCAAGAAAAAAACAGAGGGAGATTCGCAAGTTGTGGGTTATGATTTACAACTATGCAAAGATGTAGAAAGATATATGGGTTATATTATTATTTTTATTGAAAATGGGTTATATTATTTTGTATGATATACAACTATACACTCCTTTCTCTACCACAAAGATATAGTTTTATAACTATACATTTTCTCTACCACAAGGAGAGGATAGGGAGGAGAGAGGGAAAGCAGAGGGGGAGAGAGGGGGCAGAGGGACGGAGAAGTGGAAGGGGATGAAAAGTTGTAGAAAAAAAAATGGAGTTTTCATTAAAAAAGATTATTTATTTATTTTTTTAATCCAGAGGTTACAATGTGATTGGATACATGGGCTCTACTTATATTCCGCGTCACACTTAACAGAATTTCTAAGGGCAGAGACTATTTATGATTAAAAAAAAACATAATATTAAGGACTATTGATGTTACAAAAAAACCTCAAGAACCATTGGTGATAATTTTGTAAACGTCAAGGACTATTTGTGATAAAATAAAATAAAAACCTTTTCAAAATTGTGGGCGACTAGCAACAGTTTTTAGAAGCAGCTGAGATGCTGCTTTTAAAAGTTGATGTGAATGGAAGCATGCGGGGCTCTTTAATGAATATTTCAATATGCCCGTATTGTCCTCGTTTATTTTAGAAATGACGTGATTTACCTCTTCATTTTTCACGATCGGGTCTCCATTCCCACCTCAGTCCTCTGTAGCTCTCTGTTCCCACTTTCCATTAATCTCTCATTTTTCTCGTAGATCTCTTATATCTCCAAATTATTTTATCGACATTTCAACTAACCCAACCCACCATCCCTACTCGCAAACCCAACCCAACCCAACCCAGAACCTACACCTACCCAGATCTGTTTTCTGGCATTGGGCCGAGGAGATCTTGAGGTGAGGCACGGAGGCGGTGGCTGGAGGCTGACGGGACAGAGGGTGAAGGGTGTTTTTTTTTAATTTTAGGATGGGGGAGAAAGGGATAGACTGGAGAGGGGATGATGAACAAAAAGAAAAGGATATGAGGGAGGATAGGGCATGATGAAATTCAATATGCAAAGGCACTACCAGGCAGACATCTCTTGGTCGTGATGGGTGGGTGTAGGCACTGGGTGGGATTGGGTTTGTGGTAGAAATGGTGGGATGGTGGCGATTGGGTTGTTGATGCGCCTTTGTGCTGTTGGTTTATTGAATGAAGAGGTTGAGGAGAGAAAGAAAGAAAGAATGGAGAAGGGTCGAGAGAAAAAAAAAAAAAATTAAGGGTAGTTTAGGAAGATAATGTGGGGTGTGGGGTGTGGGGTGTGAAGTTGATGAGTTTTTTTTTTCTTTCCTGTCAAGTGTGTATTTAAGGGAAAAAACTTGCCT